ACTGAGGGTTGTGATCTGTTGCCGGACACGGAAAAAAGACAAAAGACAAAAAAAAAAAAAAAAAAAAACTAGAAGACAAGAGAAGAAAGGAGGCTTGCATAAGGTAACTAATATTCTAGGTAGAAAATCTATCATATGGATATATCACAATTGATTTACCTAGCTCTCCAATAAGGGAAATTTAGATTTTTTTGAACGTTTTGCTATTAGCGACAATACTTCAATAAATATTCCCATATAAATTTTTTGGCATACTTTTGTAAGTATATCCTAATGGTAATCAAGAATTATTTGTTAACATATATTATTACCTGTTTTCATAATAATTTCCATTTCCATTTAGATTTAAATATAAATTTTACTATATCTGTTTCTTATATATTTCATTTTACTCTAACTTAAATTCTTTATTTTATTTTATTTCTACTTGGCTGCACTAATTCCTTAATAAGAACTGGTTCCTTGTAGTGATCTCTTGTTTTATAAATAAAGGTACTCATAAGCTATGTTCTATCTGCTCTTGACCTTCAATGTGTAATCTGAAGCATAAATATGTATAGAATCTCCTTTAGACTCCCAAAGTGAGCTAGGCTTTCCCCACTAGGAAGATGGTTTATCCTAACAGTTAAGTGAGTCACCTAATAGCACAGAGCCTGGAGAGAATGAGACAGTCAGAGGTTTGTGCTCAGATGACTACCATCTTTCCAGAATCTCCTGCATTCTCAGACAAGTTAGGACCTACATTTAAAATCAAACCTCCCCCAACACACTAGGAAAAAAATACTTGGCTACATATATAACAAAATGTTACTACATAAAGATCCCTCATACACCAATAAGGAAAAAAAAAAACATGTACATTAACCCAGCAGAAAAATGGATAGAAGATATGAATTGACACGTCACAAAAGAAAAATAAACATGGCAAATAAACACAAGAAAAAAAGTTCTTCAGTCATCATAAAAGTACAAATAAAAATGAAAACAAACATCAGACTATAACAATTATAATAAAACAGTACTGGGGAGAGTACTGTTTCCGCACCACACACACGAGAAAAAAAGTTCTTCAGTCATCATAAAAGTACAAATAAAAATGAAAACAAACATCAGACTACAACAATTATAATAAAACAGTACTGGGGAGAGTACTGTTTCCGCACCACACACACGATCAGTAAACTGGTACAGCTTTTCTAGAGGCTATCTGTATCAAATTTAAAATTTTAAGTACTAATCAACACAGTTATTCAATTTCTAGAAATTCATCCTATGGAAATAATAAAAAATGTTATTCTTCATTTTCTAATATTGTTTAATTTTCTTTTACAATATATATCCCCTTTTGACTTATATGTATTCATTGTTTATCTTCTCTACACTACAATATAAGCTTATAGAGAGCAAGGACCTAAACAATACTTGGCATGTATTGGGAACATAATAAGTACCGGTTGTTGACAGAATGTACAAAGATTTATCTACATGAATTTTCAAAATAGTAGGGGATTTAAAAGCAAAACTTAGAAAAAATTCAATATGCAACAGCATGGGATTGGTTAAAACAAAGAATGACCAACATAGACAACTATGTAACCGTCAGAAATTAGTCTACAAAAAAAGCCACAAAAAACCCCAGTAAATGTTTATGATACCATTACATGATCTCATCTTTGTTAAGAGGAAAAAATATGCGCAAAAGATAAAAGCTAACAACACATCAAGATGTTAACAGTAGGATTATGGGTCACTTTTTTTTCTTATTTATGGTTCCCTGTATTTTTCAAATTTTATTTTTCTACAATGAAAACAGTTCTTTTTTGATAAGACAGAGAAAATTATTCAAAATAAGCTAAAACCAAAACCAAAACTTCTCCTTAGTTTCTAGTTCAAATGAGGAAAAGCTTACCTTCTGCTTCATCATCTGAAATCAGTTCATCATCAGAGCATATGTTGAGAATGTTAACCAGCATCTCTGTGACTATATGATAAGACAAAATAATCCAAACTTTACACAATAAGATACTGTCTCTAAAATAATGCATTTATCTAAATAAACATACATGTTAAATAATCATAGACAAAATTATTTATCACTATATATTAAGAATAGTGATAAAGAGTAGTATTAAATGTAGATCTTTAGGTTTAAAAAGAATTTGAGTAGATTACTTGCTCCAGTAAAAGTCTGGAGACTTTGAAGATTCTGTTGCATAATTATTTGATTTTATTACATTGCTGTTCAGAACCTTTTCCTCACCAATATGCACATAAACAAATTTATTCCCATTTTACAAACAAATTAAACCAACAGACCTATGTCCACCAGGCTTATTTTATATTTGCATGGCTTACTTGTGTAGTTGTACAAATAAAATTCTAAGAACAATAAATCCTGTTTAAATCTCTTTAACACTCAAGAAATCATTTGAAGGAAAGGCACAGTGACTACGTTATTTTAATATCATAGTAGGACAGCTACTTAAAACTGATATTTAGAATAAGAAAACCATAATAGACTAGAATTAAAATTTAAGAGCCAATTAAGTGCCATTTAAAAATCTTTGTAGAGAACAAAATGATTAAGATTTGTAATGATTAACATGCTAATTACCCTGATTTGGTCATTACACATTGTATATATGAATTGAATTCAACAATGTACCCTACAACTATGTATAATCAATACGTTTCAATCAAAAAAAATCTTTATAGAAAACAAACAAAACTAGAAAACATTCCTGATAAATTTAAGAAAAATATCTCTGAACCATTAGGGGCTCATGCAAATACAAAAGTGTGCTCAGTTACTAGTCAAGACAACTGACAGTCGAGATGTTTAGTTCTCTTACCTTTTTCTCCAACAAAGGGCAAAGACCATGTAAAAACATCCATAAAATTTGGAAGCCAGTAGGGGTGTGGGGAACAGTTAAACTGCCTTATATTCATGACATTATTTTCATATTTCAGCACAGCAGCTAAAAAGGAAAAAGTGAGAAACCCTGGCATAGAGGAACATGACATGGCAACTGGTATGCTTTGTACACCTACTATACAAAATTCAGAAACTACTACACAATTCAGGAACTTACTTTCCACTTGAAAATTCAGGACTAGGTGAAGGGCAGATGGAAAACTTTAAAGCATTTATATAGTTAATTCTCTTAAAAATTATACCAAAGAACAAAGTTACCTGAAGAAATTACATAAGAAAAGTACAAAAGAAACTGAGCTCTGAAACTTCAAAGGGTCACTGCAGAGTAACTATCTATAGAAACCTCAGGTATCCACATGGGAAAAATTTCCCTACAATTTCCTTTTATAGGCTAAATGGTTACAATCACAACTCTCCTTTGAGGGCAAATATTACTGATTAAATGGATACAGCCTGTTTTGCTAAGTCATTGCCAGATTTAAAATTTTAATAAGCTCTCTGAGTAATAGCAGTAATCAATTCATACTGGGGGATACAAATGGTAAATAGCAGTAATCAATTCATAGTGGGGGATACAAATAGTAAACATGAGTAATTCACAGTTAATGTTAAAAAGTAGATTAAATCATCTCTGCAAACAATATAACAAATTTAAAAGACACCTATCCCTTTTATTCACAGTGAGTATATTGCCAGTTCGCTATAAATGTTTAATATTAACCAGTTCATATAGTTGCACACATACTTTTCTGCTAAATTGATTTTTCTTTATATTTTTAAAAGTTTTAAAATCTAATTCCTTGGTCTTCATCACCAGAAATATTGTTTGTACTATTGTCTTAATTATTCTTACTGTGGTCATAAAACTGAATAAGGTGTAACAGTTATCTAAAAATAACAGATATAGGTCATTTCATGGTTCCTGTTCCTTTGTTATAGGATAGCCTAATCTTCTCAATTTTAAATGTCAAAAATGTACACCATAGGGCCGGCCCGGTGGTGCACTGGAGAGTGCGCCGCTTGAGAGCGCGGCGGCACTCCCGCCGAGGGTTCGGATCCCATGTGGAGACCGGTTCCCGCTCACTGGCTGAGCGCGGTGCGGGCGCAACACCGAGGGTTGCGATCCCATTACCGGTCAGTAAAAAAACAAAAAAAGGAAAAAAAATGTACACCATAGAGTATAAAGAAAATACATAAAAACAGAATTTCTTGCTCTTAAAAACTGGCTACAATGTACATGTCCCACTATTTTCATGTATATGTATTTTATTTAGGTTAGGTGAATATATCTTTATTCAACAATTCCCTCAATCTACACAGGAAAAAAAAGTGGGAAGTGGGTTTCAACAATGGATAATTAGAAACAAGAGCTTGAAAAACTGCTTTTGGGTATGTTCTCGGTGAACGGAAAAAAACAGGAATAAGAATCTTTAAAAATCATGACTTGAGGGTCTTTCATGCAACCAGGGGAACTAAGAAATACCTGTAGGTACCAGTAAGTCTAAAGAATATGCAAGAAAGAAAAGCAACAGTAGAAGAAAGGGAAGAAAAGGGCAATAGAGTTGCCTTTTTCAAGAAAAGAGGTACTTGTACTGCAACCAGGGGAACTAAGAAATACCTGTAGGTACCAGTAAGTCTAAAGAATATGCAAGAAAAAAAAGCAACAGTAGAAGAAAGGGAAGAAAAGGGCAATAGAGTTGCCTTTTTCAAGAAAAGAGGTACTTGTATGGGGAGTAATTGAATACCACCAGGGAGTGTTTCAGAGGCCACATTTTCTGCCTTTTTCCTAAAAAAATGCTTAAGAAACAATGAAGGGAAATAAAATTATTTCGAAATAAAGTTTCCAATTATATCAAAGCTGACAGAAAACTCAGGTAGAATGAACTGTAACTTAAAACGTTTATTAAAGGAATAATCAAAAACAAAACCAGATTACAACAGGATGAAAAAATGAGCTGGTGGTAAGCTGTACACTGGTTGCTGATTTAGGTGGCTTAGCACACTGATAAATCCATTGGGCAATCAACAAATGCTCTTAATAATGAAGTTTAAAAAGGGAATGAGAAGGGAAAGTCTTCATTATAAATAAGAGGCCTAGGGCCACTAAGGGTCCTTGAACATGTTTAACAAAAGCAGTGCATACTATTGATAAGGGAGGAAGCAAGAATAATACTAAGTTGCTCATATATTGGAAATATTAGGAAAAAGGAAATAAGAAAGAATGGACTTAGGGAGAAGCAGAGCACTGTACTATAGCTATGGCTAAAAGAAGAATGACAAGAAGTGAAGCAAACAAACAAACAAATCATAAAGCCAGGAGAGAACTTAAGTCAAAGAAATCCTTTTAAAAAATGAACAAGTCACTGAAGGGCACACTGAAATGACTGACCCAAATCAGATTTAAATGAGATGTGCCAGTCCATAGTTTACTTTTTTATTTTTATTTTTTGGCAGCTGGCCAGTACAGGGATCAAGCCCTGGACCCTGGTTTTGTCAGCACCACGCACTAGTCAACTGAGCTAACCAGCCCATAGTTTACTTTTAATAAAGTAAATACCAAATATATTGTGGACCTCTTTGAAACTTCTCTCCCCCACCTGTACATGCAAGGGGTGACTATAAAGTAATGAGACTTAAGAAACTGCCAACTGCAAACACACCAGACCTTATATATCAGATGAGTATGGTCCTTTGATGTTATCACATCAGGCACAGCAACAGTAAAATATTAAAGTATTACAGCAGTTTATACTTTCAACAATGCTTTAATATTCATTTTCATTATTCCAACTTATCTTCAACAACTCTATATGACAGGTATTTTACAGATAAACTGAGGCTCAGAGATGTTAAGTATCTTGTTAAGTGTGACACACTTAAAAATGAAGCAGGTCTAGACTAGGAATTCTGACTCCTAGCTTAGTGCTCTTTTCAACACAACTTGCTGCCTTACCATATAATTAATCCAAAGATACTGCCATTACTCAAAACATTTTTGGAACTCCTCCTTTGGAATTGCCTCTAGAGCCACTGTATAGGCAACACAAGAAAAACCAGTCTCATTACCTTATAATCATACCTTGTTTCTGACCCCAGATGGTTATCATCTACCTCGATCACTCACCTTATTTATCAGTCTTGACTCCGAATGACTTTTGGCTGTCCAAAAATCAAATCCACCCTCAAAGGACGAAGATTTCCCATCATTGAGGATAATCAAAAGAATGTGTCGCAGACTCTGAAGGCAATGCCAAAAGAGGAGTTCCAAAAATGTTTTTGAACAATGACAGCATTGTTGGAATACACGGATAGCCTCCTAAAGCAACTGCTTTAAAGGGACAGTACTCATTTGGATATATTTGTTCTGGCATGTTTGTTAAAACAGTCCTATTATTTTATAGTCATACTTTATAAACAATAAAACAGTTACAGAGACACGAAGAAGGATGAGTGATATAAAAGTTTTAAATTTTAAAAAAGACTTTAACAGGATGAAGTCTTAGAAGTAGAATTTCTGGAACAAAAGGCATGTGCATATCCAATCCTCTTTTTTTATATGGGAAACTGAGGTTTAGAAAGTTTACATGACTTACACAAAGTCACACTGTTAGTTTCTAACAGAGTTTGGACTAAAATAAAGATTTTTTCTAACTCTTTGTACACCATTTACTCTACCGGTAACGTATCCCAAGAAGAGCAAAAACAGCTTAATAAATCACAAACAATAAAACTCTGAATGGTGACCTTTTTTTGAGAAACTGTTATAAGCAAATTAAATTCACCAAAACCAATAATTTATGCTAACTGTTCTAACATGAACCTGAAGTAATTTATTCTTTTATACTTTGATTCAGTAGTACGAATCAGACCTCTTATGATCATTATTATAGTCACAAAGAGCCCAATAAATCCTTAGGAGATGAAGACTGAGCAACAACACAAATTTTAAATTTCTTGGCCTTGTTTCAATTAAGACCTCCTTTTTTCTTATTTAAAACTTATATTTCAAAATAATGTACATACACACAGATAATTAAACTACAGTTCACATTTACTCACAAATTGAAACTCAAATATTGCTGGACTCCTTTACCTTTATTGTTATAGACATCTAGGTAATTGGGGGCAGAGAAAATTGTAATAAGTGATGGAAAGCCTGTTATTTGGCTCTTCCTGTACATTCGATACCTGGAAGAGAGATGACAGCCTGTCTGTTTTGATATTAAAAGTAAAAACAATGCAGTGATATTTGGTACAGTTTTAATATAACTTACCCAGCATCCTGGGCTTCGTGGGCTCTGATTATTGATAATAAATTATTGTTCTGCAAAAATTCACAAACTGCAGGGTAACTGAAAAAGAAAATTCGAAAACACAAATCCAGAATTAAAAATTTATTTTCAAACAGGAGGAAGGAAAAAAGTCAAGATGACACGAGTTGATTTTGTTTCAAGACTACAGGTATTACACACCACTGAAATTTTATTAATAGCTTAGTAATCATCAATCTGTTGTTACACTTCACTAACATACCTCATTACAGATCTAACATCAAGATAACAGACAATCATAGAATAGAAAGAGCCTCCCTTCTTTTAATTTTTTTTCTTAACCCATAATAATAATAATACAACACCAAAACTTTTCTTGGTATCTTGACATAAAAAAGTACTATAGTAGTATATATGTGTGTGTGTGTGTACAGTAGCTGCTAAAAACTGAACACATAATTTTCTTCAGCCATCAAATTATCAAATTGTTAGAAAAGTAAAAGAACCTATTTACAGCTTCCCAGATAATATCAATACCATAACAATATTATGCAGGAATATTTCCGGAGTAGTTATAAATATTTTAGTCAACCATATTCTAATAAAAGGAATGATATTTGCATATACTCCTAAAATATTCTTTTAGTAGTATTACCTTTATGAATGAGAAATACTTGATAGAAAGAACCAGAGAATGCAAAATTAGCCTGGAACTATCCAGGAGTTAATTATCCAGTTTATGCTCATTAGAAAAAAATTACTTTTAAAATAGATTGCAGTGATGTTTAGCAAGACGAAAGAATAGAAGATCCCCAGCCCTTGTCCCCCTACAACAATTATGCAGCCATCCACAGATATAAGTGCCTTCATTAAAGCCTTGGGACAAAGGTAGGAGGTTGAGAAATCTAGAAAAAAATTACTTTTAAAATAGATTGCAGTGATGTTTAGCAAGACGAAAGAATAGAAGCTCCCCAGCCCTTGTCCCCCTACAACAATTATGCAGCCATCCACAGATATAAGTGCCTTCATTAAAGCCTTGGGACAAAGGTAGGAGGTTGAGAAACCTTAGTGGATCCCAAGACTAAGGAGGGCCACTTTGAGAAGGCAAGCCCACATACCCTGGTCCCAGCTACAGACCCAGAAGCAGCTCATCCCTTGTTGACATGGCTCCAGTCCCACTTGTCTTCAATCCTGCCACCAGCCCTATGCACCTAGGGACCTGGGAGGAGCCACATCCACAGGCACCCTTGGTAACAGATCTGCCAACTGGACCCAACTGTGGACCCAAAGCAGCACTTTGACCTGGCTCCAGCTCCACTCCGTTGCAGTCCAGTGGCAGTCTTGCCTTCCCAGAAACCTGGTAGAAGCCACACCTGTCCAGACCCATGGTAATAGGGCTGTTGACTGGACCCAAATGCAGACCTGAACCAGACCTGTGACCCAGCTCAAGTCTCACTCTATGAGTTCCAGAGGCATTCCCCTCCACCCATGACAGGAGACTCACCTACACATGCTCCCAGTAGCATGCCTGCCAACCATGGACCCTACTGCAGTCCTGTGACCCAGCTCCAGCCCTGCTCAACCACAATCTCATAGGCAATCCCATCAGTTCAGGGACCCAGCAGGAGAAGGTATTAACTTGATGAAACCAGTCTGTAAGGACTGAAAGAGGTTCTGCTCCTTCAAATGCACAGACACAAATGCAAGGCTACGTGGATAATGAAGAATCAGGCAAACATGACACCACCAAATAATAAAGCTCCAGTAACTGACCCTAAAGAAATGGAGATCCATGAACTATATGACAAAGAATTAAAAATAATCATCTTAAAGAAGCTCAATGAGCTACTACAGAACACAAATAAACAACTAAATGAAATCAGAGAAACAATGTATGAACAAACTGAGATGTTTAATAAAGAAACAGAAACTGTAATAAAGAACCAAACAGAAACTTTGGAGCTGAAAAATACAATGACTGAACTAAAAATTTCAATTTAGAGCTTCAGCAGCAGACTCAGTTTTGCACAAGAAAAGAAGAAGAAAGTTAGGGGCCGGCCTGGTGGCGCACTGCTATAGTGCGCCGCTTGGGAAGCGCGGCGGCACTCCCGCCGAGGGTTCGGATCCCACATACAGACCATGAGCGAGGCGCGGGAGCAACACCGAGGGTTGCGATCCCGTTGTCGTTCCTGGTCCGGTACGGGGGCGACACTGAGGGTTGCGATCCGTTGCCGGACACGGAAAAAGACAAAAAAAAAAAAAAAAGAAAAGAAGAAAAAAGTTAGCTCAAAGAAAGTCATTTGAAATTATCTAGTTAGAGAAACAAAAAGAAAAAAGAATAAAAAAAGAGTATAGATTGTATATAAGCCTTATGGGACAAGATCAAGCAAAATAATATTAGCATTATGGGAGTTCAAGAAGGAGAAGAGATCAAAGATTCATATCTCTATACTGGCAAGCTGCCAAAAAAAAAAAAAAAGGAAGAAGAGAGGGACAGAAAGCTTATTCATTACTGATTATTTATTGAGAAATCCCCAAATCTAGGGAGGGAAATAGACATCTCAATTCATAAGTCCAAAGATCTCCAAATAAGTTAAACCCAAAGAGGTCTACACAAAGATGCATTATAATTAAATTATCAAAAACAAAGAATTTTGAAAACAGCAAGAGAAAAGGAAATTGTCATATACAAGAGAGCTTCCATAAGATGATCAGGGGATTTCTCAACCAAAACCTTGAAGGCCAAGAGACAGAAGAACAATATATTCAAAGTACTAAAAGAAAAAAACCTGCCAACCAAGAATACTTTACCTGGGAAAACTGTCCTTTAAGAATGAAGGAGAGATAAAGACTTTGCCAGACAGACAAAAACTGAGTGAGTTTGTCACCACTAGACCTGCCTACGATAACTGCTAAAGGTAGTTCTTCAAGTTGAAACAAAAAGATGCTCAAAAACAACACAAAAGGGCTGGCCCGGTGGCGCACTCGGTAGAGTGCGGTGCTTGGGAGCGTGGCGGCGCTCCTGCCGAGGGTTCGGATCCCATATGGAGACCGGTCCGCTCACTGGTTGAGCGCGGTGCGGGCACGACACCGAGGGTTGCGATCCCGTTGCCAGTCACAAAAAAAGACAAAAAGGAAAAAAAAAAAAAACACAAAAGCATATGAAAGTATAAATCTCACTGCTAAAGATCAAATGGACCTAACAGACATACACAGAACTTTCCAACCAACAGCAGAAGAACAAGATGCCCCTCAACTAATGATGGGGTTATGTCCTGATAAACCCATCATAAATTTAAAATAGCATAAGTCAAAAATGCATTTAATAACCTATTCTACTGAACATTATAGCTTAGCCTAGCCTACCTAAAACATGCTCAGAACACTTACGTTAGCCTATAGTTGGCCAAAATCATCTAACGCATAGCCTATTTTATAATAAAGTGCTGAATATCTCATGTAATTTATTGAATACTGTACTAAAAGTGAGAAACAGAATGGTTTTATCACTTTCACACCATTGTAAAGTCAAAAAATCATAAGTCTAATGATCGTTAAGTGGGGACCATCTGTATAATTCTTCCCAAGTGCACATGGAACATTCTCCAGGATAGGTCAAATGTTTGGTCACAAAACAAGTCTTAACAAACTTAATAAGATTTAAATCATTCCAAGTATCTTTTCCTACCACAATGGAATAAAACTAGAAATCAATAATAATAAGAAAACAAGAAAATCCACAAATACCTAGAAACTATACAACATACTCTTGAACAACCTCTGGGCCAAAGAGGAAATCACAATGGAATTTTTAAAATATCTAAAGATAAACAAAAACTAAAATACAACATACCAAAACATAGGGGATGCAGCAAAAGCTGTACTAAGTGAGAAGTTTATAGTAATAAATGTCTATGTTAAAAAAAAAAAAAGATCTTATATAAACAACTTAACTTTCTACCTCAAGATACTCTAGAACAAACTAAGCCCGAAGTTAACAGAAGGAGGGAAATGATAAAGGTTAAAGTAGAAATAAATCAAAATGAGAAAAGAAAAACAATAGAAAAAACTCAACAGAACTAAGAGCTGGTATTGAAAAAATAAAAGCAAAATTGGTAAAACCTTAGCTAGACTAACTAAGAAAAAAAGAGAGAAGATTCATATAAATAAAATCAAAAATAGGGCTGGCCAGGTTGGCCCGTGGCTCACTTGGGTGGGTGCGGTGCTGATAACACCAAGGCCACGGGTTTGGATCCCATATAGGGATGGCCAGTTAGCTCACTGGGTGAGCGTGGTGCTGACAACACCAAGTCAAGGGTTAAGATCCCCTTACCGGTCATCTTTAAAAAAAAAAAAAAAAAAAATAGGGCTGGCCAGTTAGCTCAGCTTGTTAGAGTGCAACCTTATAATACCAGGGTCATGGTTCAGATCCCTGTACTGGCCAGTTGCCTAAATGAATAAATAAATAAATAAAATCAAAAATGAAAAACAAAAACAAAAAACGACATTACAATAAATGCCTCAGAATAAAAAGGATTATAAATGACTAGTACAGGTCAATATCCCTGATGAACACAGATACAAAACTCCTTAATTAAATACTAGGAAACCAAATTCAACAACATATTAAAAGATTAAACACCATGATTAAATGGGATTTATCCCTGAGGTGCAAAGATGGTTCAATACATGCAAATCACCTTATAACACCAAGGTCATGGGTTTAGATCCTGGTACTGGCCAACTGCCAAACACACACACACGCGTGCGCGCATGCGTGCGAATCAACTACTGTGATAAACCATATTAACAGAATGAAAGATAGAAACCACATGACCATCTCAATAGATGCAAAAAAGCATTTGACAAAATTCAGCATTCACTCACGACAAAAACTCTCCACAAAATAGGTGTAGAAGGAACTACCTCAATACAATAAAGACCACATATGAAAAACCCACAGTTGACATCATAATTAAAAGGGAAAAACTGAAAGATTTTCCTCTAAGATCCACTTCCACTCAACATAGTACTGGAATTACTATGCCAGAACACTTAGACAAGAAAAAGGAATAAAAGGC